GCCCGCGCCCTGGCCCCCCCCCTCCTCTCCCCCAACCCCCCCCCCCCCCCCCCCACCCCCAACCAGATGGTCCCGCCCCTCGCCGCCAACCGTTCCAACGCCCTCCGCTGGCTCTACGTCCACGTAGTCCCCTTCTACCCCCGCACCAAGATTTCCACCATCTCTGTCGGCAACGACCCTCTAGAATCTTCCCCCGACTTCTCCACCTTCCTCCTTCCTGCCATCCGCAACCTCCACCTCTCCCTCCGCGACCTCAGCATCCGCAAGATCTCCGTCTCCACTACCTTCTCTTTCATCAGCATCATTACGACGCCGTTTCCCCCTTCCTCCGCCCAATTTCTAGAGCCCGCCCTGTACACCGTCGTCAGACCCTTGCTCCAGTTCCTCCGCGACACCAATTCGTCGTTCTTGGTCAATCTCTACCCGTACAACCTCTACAAGATCCGCAGCGAGATTCCAATCGGGTTTCCCCTGTTTCAGGAGCACCCTTTCGGCTTCCGTGACGACCTCACCACCGGCGTCCGGTACCGGAACCTCTTCGACATGATGGTCGACGCCGTCATTAGCGCCATGGCCGTCGCCGGTTACGAGAATATTCCGCTGATTGTGACCGAGACTGGGTGGCCGAGTTTCAGTACCGATCCGGCCGAAATTGACGCCAACCCGATTTACGCCGAGCTGTACCTCAAGGGTCTGCTGTGTCATCTGAGGTCCGGGAAAGGCACGCCGTTAAGGAAAGAAGGGGTGTCCGAGACGTACATATATGAGCTGCTTGATAAGCAAATGAGGAAGGGGCGCAATTGGGGGATACTCTACCCCAATCTGACCGCCAAGTACAAGTACATTCAGTTCTCTGGGTCCTATTGCAGAGGTTTCTTTGACATGTTGATCATGGCGGTTGGCCAATTCTTGGTCTTTGCTTTCTTGCGTGGTAATGGATCCTTTTCTCTACTCTAGATTGTGGACTGTGATTAAGCTTCAGCTACTTAGTTTCATTATTTGGGTAGCTCTGTTTTTTTATTCTTGGAAGTTTCTTTGAGATGCTGATCATGGAAGTTGGGCACTTCTCGGTCTTTGCTCTTAGACTCTGATTTAGGTTCAGTTGCTTACTGTCATTGCCAAGAAAGTAGCAGTCGGATTTGGAGGCTCCTTTGTCAATTGGGTTTATGGAGAAAGTGTTGTTAATTTCTTGTATGAGCCTTTTGAAGATGGTGTTGGGGCTTCATAAATGTTCAATTTGGGCTGCTGCTTTGCCAATGGAATTACTTTTTTTTCTCTGTCATTAGGGGTATTTTGTAAAGGAAATAGTCTCTGTGATGTAGTCAATTGAACTTCCATTCTCCTTGAGGTGTGAACAGATTTCAGTGCATGTTTTTTGCAGAGAAAATTATATGAAAATACAGTTAGATGGTTTACTTTGAGTTTCACTTACTGCCTATCTGGATGGTCTGAATGATGAGCTCAAAATTGAAAATTGGCATCTTGCTTGGCTGAAATGTTTAATTTGAGATTTGTTGTTTGTGTGTGTGTGTGTGTGTGTTGCTTTTGCTGCCTCCAAAAATTGTTCTTTCTGTAGTTTAGAAAGACCAAAACTGAGAAATACTCATGCACCTTGGCATGATGAATCAATAAATAAATGGAGGATCCACTCATGCACCTTCTACAATTAACCATTTGACCAGCGATGAAAATATTAATTGAAAGACCTGAAGAAGATTTGGTTCCTTCTGCAAGTGCAAAAATTGGTTATTTTTTTTCAGTGCCACTGTGGTTGTTGAAAGCAAACTTGTTGGTAATTATAATCTATGCAATATTACAAACTCATGATGTGCAAGAAACTTGAGAAATGCAGCAAAACATATCACATTTTAAAAGAATGCCAGCAAAAGTTGAAGTTGCCTTGTTTACCATGGATCTTGGTTGCTACATAATTTAGCCAGTTAAGCAAGACAAATTTACAAGTGTAGTAAAAATTAAGCAATAAGGAAAAATAAAAAAGCTATTTTCATAAGTAAAAAAACAAGATCCCAAAAACAGAAAACAGAAAAAGATGAAAGCCATCATGTGTTAATAATCGGTGGGCGCCAACGGGGTCTAGCTTAGTTGAAAAGGACGTTGACTTACAGATTAGACCAAAGGTCTAAGGTTCGAATCCCCACGGCATTATAGTTGTGTGTGAGAAATCCTCATCCCCATAATTTAGACTGCCGTTTGTACTTAAAAAAAATTGTGGGCGGACTGGGAAAATTGTTTGATGACCATATACATGGGCTTGGGCCTATTGCAAAACCCAGAAAAATAAAAAGATTTTCTAATGTAGTTGGGCTTAGTAGTGGGCCGTCTATTTTACGTTTCAGAGACACTCAGAGTCTCGACTCCAGGGGACCTGCTGTCGTCTTCTTCTCGAGGGGACTCTGCTGCGAAAGTACAATTCCGGCCCTTTTTAAATCCCAGGTATGGGGATATCTCCTCGTTTCAATTTCCTTTTATTATTTATGTAATTTATATGGCTGAATTTTATATTAGATTTACAGAGATTGTTTTCACATGCGAATTGTGCATATGCCTCTGAATTATGGTAAATTATATGTGACTTGAGAAGAGCTTTTGAAGCCCCTTCCGAGGCTCTGCTTTCGTCTATGGCCTGTGCCTCAAATGGGTATTATTTATTTTTTGTGTTCGAAAAATCAGAAGAGCGCCCGCCTAGGCGGCCTGGGCAGTTATGGGCGGGTCGGGTCCTTTTTTTTCCCTGACTCTACTGAAAACCTACCTCACGCTGCCTCTCTCTCTCTCTCTCTCTCTCTCTCTCTCTGTGGCACGACAGAGCACCACCACCAGGCCTCGACCCGCGACCCCCGACCCGCTCGGCCACCCGCGACCTGCAACCTCCTCGCCTATGTTTTAGAGGCCTAGCCTTTCATTTCAAGTATTTTTCTTTGTAGTTTATTTTCTTGAATTGTTATTGCATTTTGAGTCGGGGGTTCATTTTGGTTTTCTGCTTATTGCATTGCATTTGGGGCGTTTCATTTACTATCTTCTCAACATAAAGTTAGAAACTTGCATCATTAATTTAAGGGGCAATACAGATCATCTCTTTTAATCCTTCTACTCAAGCAAGTGATCAACAACAATATCAAATCGGTAGTAATTGTAAAAAGGTTTTTATTTTATGTTTGGACTGCAAAGTTAACTTGATGATTCAAAGGTTTTTGACATTTGTTTTCTGCCCTTCTTACAGTGGTGCTTTGATGTTGACAGTTGGACACTTAACAGGAAAATAACAAGGTCTCTAGCTGTCTTGCAATATAGAATTCTTGTTCATCTTCTTATTTATTTTCGATGTTTTCCCCATTTTTTGAAGTTCATATTAAATACCTCCTTGTGTTCTTGTGTTTTTGTTTTGAGTTCAAGGAAGTCTACACTTTTGTTTTCAATTGTGCTATAATAATGAACAACTAATCTTGCATTCTATCACGCCTATGAAAAATGGCAGGAGAATTGGAATTGAGTGAAGGATGCTTAGCCCATCAACCCCAAAAGCCACTTGGACGCCGGGGCACCGCAAAATATTTTTTGATCTTTGCCTGGAAGAGATGTCAAAAGGGAATAAGCCAGGGACGCATTTCACTAAGGAGGGTTGGAGGAATCTTATTGAATCATTCTATGAAAAGACAGGTATAAGGTATAGTAAGAGACAAATGAAGAATCATTGGGATTTCACCAAGAAGCAGTGGAAAGTCTGGGTTAAGCTAATTGCTGAAGTTACTATGAAATGGGATCCAAGTACCAATGGATTTGGTGCTAGTGCAGAAGATTGGGCTAACTACATACAGGTATGCTATATTGAAGAAAGATACTAGGGAGGTTCTTCATGAATTTTAGATTAGTGATTGCAAGTGCTTTGTCACAGGTAAACCCAGAAGCTGCACAGTTTCAGTATAAAGAACTCCCATGCCCTGACATACTGGAAATCGTTTTTGCTGGAACTATGGATTCTGAAGATATGGAACCTTCTAATTCTCGGAGGCAAAGTAATAGCTCAGACACCTCCCTTCTGCACTCTGAAGAACAAGAGTTAGTGACTGTGGAGGGGGGAGATGAGCATCTTTCGAATGCCATTCCCTTAAGGAGTTATGAAATGGGTCAGTCTAAACACCGTAGAACAACTGCAAGTGAGCAGAGTATATCTAGCTCATCCCAGCCAAAGACAAAGGCCATTTGGATGCCTGCAACCCATGAAGTATTTCTTGATCTATGTCTAGAAGAGGCATTAAAGGGGAATAAACCTGGGACACATTTTACCAAGGACGGTTGGAGGACTATTCTTGAATCCTTTCAACAAAAAACTGGCCTTATGTATAATAGGTTACAGTTGAAGAACCACTGGGATATCACCAAGGAACAATGGAAAGTCTGGTGTAAGCTAATTGGCACAATTAGTATGGGTTGGAATCCAAACAGCAGGAGATTTTCAGCAAATGATGAAGATTGGGCCAACTACTTAGAGGTATTGTATACAACTGACAGTAACTGTTTCTATCTATTTGAAAACCAGGGAGTTCTTAATGATTTTTGGGTTGGTAAATCGTATTGGTTTTGTTTTGTTACAGACAGACCCAGAAGCTGCACCATTCCGCTTTAAGGAACCTCAATCCACCGACAAGTTGGAAACCATATTTGATGGAACAACAGTTACAGGAGAGACAGAGCCCCCTGCTAGGCGTAGGAAGTATAATCATGATCTGAGTGCATCTCTTTTGCATATAGAAGAAGCAGGCACAGTGAACCGAGAGAGGGACGTTGAGCATCTTGATGCTGTAACAGTTTCTTTTATGCCTGGCAAGCAAACTTATAGTATTGGGGAGTGCATTGCCTGTCTTGATGCCATGGAGGACGTAGAACAAGGAAGTGAGCTCTATTTGTTTGCATTAGATGTATTTCTGAAAAAGGAATACAGGGAAATATTTCTTCAACTGAAAAAGCCGAGCGTAAGGATTGCATGGTTGCAGCGGCTGCAATCTGTTGGTCCTCCTTCGTTCTAGGGTGCTTGTAGCTCTTGGATTTCTCTTGTAATTTTAGACAGCTATTATGTAGGTAGCAAGTAGAGTTGCTTTTCAATGGAAGCCAAAGGCAAAGTGATTGTGGATTTTATCATAGCTATTGTTTATCTCCCCCGGATTAAAATATCGTTTATCGTATTAACCAGTGAAGTAATATGATCAGAAGAAAAGTAAAAATGAAGTAAAACTGAGGCAATTTACTGCCTCTTGTGCAAGTCATGAAGAATAATTACAACAATTATAACACGAATAATGTTTTTCTTTTTTCTACAGAACACCCAAAGCAGAACCGATGCTATTTACATGGCTGGATTGATTTCAAAATCAAAATCTCTAGACGAATCTATATGAACTACAAATATAACAACTTGCGTGTCCTCAACTTTGATGTTCAAAAACTGTAATAAATTGGGTTTGGAAGCTTAAAAATACGCTCTTCTAAGGATGTGCCTGTTAGAGCATCCATGTGACTGCTTACAGTGCCTATTATGCGCATGCCTTTTCTCTGCATTGCAGCCCTTTGTTTAGAGAAGTAGTCACAACTATCCATTTGCAAATCATCTTCTGATCTGCCAGCCAACCATATCAATCAACGCAGTTGACATCAAAATATTGAATACAATAATCTTCATTCATACATCACTGGCACAAGGCAAATGGAGTTCCAAGGAATCTGAAGCCTCTCAGTAAGTAGTTTTATATACAGAGATAAAAGAAAGAAGGGGTCGTACATAACAATACCTCATAATCAATGAAGACCAAGCTCTAAATCCTGCAGATATAAGATACTCTATGGAGGAATTCAGTTGCGTCTCTGGCTTTCTTGATAGCAAAATCAAAGGCCACCCGCTAGCATGAAGTTTCATGTACAGTCTCAAAATATATATGTGCTTCAGCTGCTTTGCCTCTTCCACACAATCACTAGAACCATGTTGATCATCTCTGTGCAAAAAGACAATTTGTAATGAAAAAGGTACATGAAAAACCTGAACTAACTACTTTAACATGTGAAGAAAATTCATATAAGAAGAACAGGTGCTCAGAGACTAAACGGAAAATTACCGGTCCACCAACAATTTAATGTACTGGGGACTTGAAGAAAGAACGTCGTCTATGTCCATCAAGACCACATCCACACCATCACGTTTTAGGGTACTGAAATAATTCTGAATCATCCACACGGTAGAATTTAAATCTCTTGCATATTGGCCTTCTTTGATGTATTGAAGGGCAACAACCCTGCAAATTGAAGGGAAGTGATCTGCTTCAACTTTGTTGAGTTCCACATGCAGAGAGACGATCTGGCAGTAATTGTAATCATAACTGGGTTTTTCAATCTCAATGACTCCATGGCTCCTACTTTGGCAAGACTGCAGCATTACGGTCAACGCAATCAGCAATGTGATTAATATTACCCCAACAGTTACAAGTGCACCAATGAAGATTGTGGAAGCAAAAGACGACATGTAGAACCCTGAGTCCATTACATAACTGCTTTGCCTCCTCCCTGTGTCCAAGAAAACGGAACAAGATCACAGCTGATTAATTAAGCTCCACATGCTTTGATTATATGGCCTGAAGGTATAACACGCAAGAACATGCAGAAGAGCTCAAGAGCAACATGCTTAAAGACAATATGCATAATTTTAGCAAGAGGTTTATTTTTGAAGCAAATAACACAAGTATTGTACAGAAGCGCTAATACTAGCTTTCCATTTTCTGATCACAGATAAAAGGTTTTAAATATTTCTCAACAAATCCACACCACCACCAGTAGTTTAGGACAGCCTAATTAAGTTGGAAAATCCTGCAAGACGGTATCACATACCAGAACCTCTGCTTGAAAGACTGTGAGCAGAGTATTGCTGCTCCATTTGATGGCCATAAGCAGACATGGTTATAATCCAAGTAGCAATCACCAGCTCAATTAGTCTGCAAAAGAACTCCAGCTCCCCTCCCAGTCCATAGAAATAGAAGGGTCACCTGCAATTTACAAAGTGACATCAAACATCATGTAAACGGCTACCAAACGCACATATCAGATTCTCAAATTTTATGCCTACAACATTATGCTGAACAAAAGTTTCAAAAGAAATCGCAATTTTCTACAGGTAAATGATCCAGAACACCCAAGAATCCATAGATATATAATATTTCAATTTTGAGAGGCATCCATGATCCACTTAAGCGTGCAGCTTGTTCAGCTGATTCTGTCACTCAAAAATTTACCACTCAAATCATAACCATCTCCAGTTAAGCCATACCCAATAAACAGCATCAATTTAAGCAAATCTAAACCTTCTGATGACCTAATTCCATGAAAATACATAAAACCATGAGCTGGGTCAACAAGATCATCAACTGATTAGATTAGAATCACATCTAATAAGATAAATCATTAATGGCTATCCGATCCATTTACAGTATAAGTACCAAATGGTTGACAAAATTGCCAGTATCATCTTATCCAATATTATTTCTTTTTCCGTGATTTTGAATTTTAACCCCACACAATTAAAGTCATGAAACCAATAATACAAGCTGACGATCATCTTGTCAATCTCAACAAACAATCAAAGTCAAATCAGATGGCTTTTTAACAACAAAAGCTACACAGAGAGAGAGAGAGAGAGAGATTGGAAATGGAGAATACCTGAGCGGGAGAGATACATTGGAAAGATGGAGGAGAGTTGTCTTCAAACAAGGAGTAGATTATCCAGCTCTCTCTTTCTCGAATTCTCGTAAAGAAGCTTCCTTTCTACAAAGTACCCATATCATCATCATGATTACAAAAATCAAGGGTAGTTTGGTCAAAAACCCAAATTTCTGTTGAGGCCACTTATGATTTTCGTTGTTGTCCAAAAAAAGCGATATGATTTTATTGACAAGAAAAAAAAAACTTATGGTAAAAGTAAGTTAAATCTTCCCGTAAAATATGGAAATTCTTATTCCTTTCTATAGCAACGGGTTGACAACTATTATAAGAAATTGAACTCTGTAATCTCTTGTGGACCAATCAAGTCATAATCTCTTTTGAACTCATAAAAAAAAAGGCAAGAAATTTGTATCTTAAGTGATTAAGAAATTTGTATCTCACGTGTTTATATTAACCAATGACCTTTTTTGATATTTTAAATGTTTTATCAATCTCTACATTTTATTTTATATATAGATATATATAGATATATAGATAAAAAAAATGCATTGATGATATTACAACGTGAAAACCTTAACGGCTTAGAAACATTATTGTATGACAACTGTCTGGTATATACACGTCAACATGAATATTCTTCTTGTGAGAGCCGTTTGTCATAATCTGTAGACACAAGCTGGGATGATCATTGATAATATATTACATATATATATATAGGTCAACATGAATATTCTTGTTGTGAGAATTGTCCGTTGTCATAATCTGTAGAGACAAGCTGGGATAATCATTGATCACACGCAAAAAACTCCTCTTCAATTCAATAGGAATTGAGCCAATATCTGATTATCTAATCAGCCACAATAAGCGCTTTTTCTGCGAGCACCCACAGTCGTGATGCTCCAAGAGGGGTATACTAGGTACTGGGTACTAGGTAGGTCACTCGTACACACTCGGAGGTAATCAAAGTGGGGTAGATAGGAGGCGTTCACAGCAATGGCTTACCAATTTTGACTAAAATACACTAATTTTCTATCACCCCTTTTTCGTGAATAAAGAAATAACAAATTTTAAAAAATGAGATCCTGGTTTATCAACAGAAAAAAGAGATAAGTCATCATCACCAGCACAGCAGAATGAACGCCAGTTGTTCATTACTCTTCATTCTGCCGGTGATGATGACTTATATCCTTTTTCTTGCCATTTTCTTTGTCATTATTTTTCCTGACACTTTCTACGGCCTCTTCACAAAGGATTATTACATTGCAGTAAGTAAAGTAGTAAAGCTAGATTTCTGATTTCATTTCTTGGGTTTGACTTTGAGCCTAATTATGTCACTAACTTCATCTCCTAAATGTGTTGGGATTCTTATTAGGCATCGCTCAGATGATCCTATACCTCAGATACAAGAATACAGGGAAAGATGATGGAGAAAAAAATAAGGCAGTCGAGAGATGAAGAAGTTCATGAGCACCGCCAACTGCCCGAAGCTGAAGTCTTGATGCCCTGCAACCATGAACAATAAATTATTACTTTTCCTGTATAAGAGAAAATAAATTATTACTTTTCTTGTATAAGAGAAAATCCGTAAACCCAATGTTCACATGAAAAAGTTTTGACATTTATAGCCATGAGTCAGAGTCTCGATCTGCAAAACAAGCGAAGTAGTTCACTCAGAAGAGCGCAATAATAAGCTTGCATGACACTAGCTATGTCCCACCTGAAGAGGTCCATAAGTCATCAATATCTCTCATTAAGCTTAAAATTTCAGGAACAAGGCTGAAGATGCTGCACTTGAACGTAGGTAGTAGGGGTTGGTGATGGATATGTGTTGGAATGTGTTGGATTTTAGGAGGTGTGTGATGAGTGGTGTTGCTCTCTGATACCATTGTTGGTTTCTGTGATGAATAGTGTTTAGGCTTCTTGGCCTTCTTCCTTGTTATATAGGCTTATTGACCCTCTTTCTCTCTTAGCTTGGTGAGCTTATTCGCTCCCTTAGTTTGGGAGTTGCCTTATTTACTCCCCATTTAGTTTGGGAGTTTATTAGTTCACTCCACCTTTCTATATTACATTGCATGCCTATTTATAGGCATTCTTTGCCGACATCACCAAGTCCGCCGACTTGGACTTCTTTTTCTAGTCCCTTTTAATGTGGCTTTTACTAGAAACTTCTATATTGTATAATATTATTTTGTGGCTATTAGCCATCATGCTCCACCGCCGTAGTCTAGCAACATGAGTGTTCTTGCTCAGAGAGTTTCCAACTTCAATATCATTGTCTAGTTGACATAGTCTTGGTAATGTTCTCCACAACTCCAGGGCCATTCTTATATTCAAGATTCTTCTAGAACTACACAAATGGGCATTATTTTTCAACAGAATGCTATCTTTAGGGCATCATTTACTTCAATAGTTGCATTGGATTTTTCTGAAAACTCTTA